TTTCATGTAACGTTTATGACGTCAAATATATGATTCATGATAATTTGATGACGCCATTGGTCAAAATTCAAGATGGCGGACCATATCAGTAACTCGGGTAAAGCCAGTTTATTTTCCTTAAAATTTGATGACTACTTGATATTCTATATAAAAAAACATATGAAAGATCTTAGTCAATTATATTTTTATGTTTGTTAAATGCTTGGAATCTAGATAAAATGATCTTTTCTTTCATTTCTAATGCTGCAAGGACCCTACTAAGCAGCTACGAAATGTATTTTTCTGAACAGAACAAGTTCTTTTCAAATCTCTTGTCCTTTTTTTTCCTGGCAGCCAGTCTTTAAAATATACCGAAGATCTGTGTTCATGTTAAGAACTCGAACGCTTCAAACAGCAGCCTGCCTTAGCCTCCTTTGCAGACTTCTGAAGTGGCGGCGTTATTTTTGGTGGGGATCTACACGAGCTGTATGTCGCAGAGAGACGGTTTGGCGACGGGGGACTTTGCCGGGAGGAGGCGGCGAACCCGTCCCTCCGCAGCATAACTCGCATCGCTCCCAGAAAAAACAAGAATTCCGAGATCTCATACCTCCATGAAATATGGGCTTGATATGTAAATGTAAATTTCTTCTTTAATTATGCAGATTACCTCGGCATTAACATGATATATGCATCTTGATGTATGTTAACTTTTGATTAAGTTACAGATGTCCCAAGTATGACATTCCCATCATTCACCATTAAGAAATCATAGAATTTTGCATAAATTATGCAAAGTAGGTCATCATTTGCATAATTGGTATCTGTTGATGTTCTGCCTGCCTGCCTGAAAAACAATCTGTCACCAAAACATCAAGACCATAGCATGTTCAGGACAAAAGATACAAAAACCGCAAGTTCTGCTGCAGTACCAAGGTCATCCACCAGGAGGCCCATATTTGACCTTGACCTTTGTCTTCCTAAGAATTACCAACATACCAAATATCATCACAATCCATAAAGGCGTTCTGAAGTTATGCTGACCACAACGTTGCGGAAACACACACAGACAGACACACACACACAGAGAGACATACATACATTCATACAGACAGACAGACACGCCAAAAACAATACCTCCATTTTTCATGGAGGTAATTAGAAGACTCAGAAGACTGTGAAGGAGGCTTCGTCTGCCTCTACTATACTTCGCTCTCCACGTGTCTTTTGCGCCTTGACTGGGATCACACTTCTCGCCCCTTTCTTGGCAAATGTCAAACTTATGGTCAAGATATTACTACTGTCTGTCTACTATTTGTCCTCCTGGCACCCCTTTAATGCTGAACCCATTGTAGGAAAATGCCCAGCAAATATTTGTTTACATGTGATGATGTATAGCTATATATAACGTTACGTCTCATCATCAATCAACTGTGTCATTGATGCCCCCCTCCCACACACACTTTTTCTGGGTGCCCTGCTGGTATGTACGCTAATGCCTTCGTGCTTTTGTAATGATGGAAATCATTGATACGAGTTGATACACCCTTCTTAAGCAAGGAAAACGTCCTTCACAATTGGCTGTTGTATCAGAACCCTTGTAGAATCTTCTATGTTTGAACCAGAAGCTGTGGGCTTTCCTGAAGTCATCAAGATGCCTTTTGAATTCCAGGACATTTAAAGAAGAATGGGAGTCCTTTTGAATTTTGACCATGGTAACCACTTCCCTGGGTTGACATTGTAGGCTTGCCACACCTGTACATTACTTGTGAAAAGTTGAAAGTTGTGGACACTAATACCGTTAAGTTTGATACTGGCCTCTTTTGCTTTTGCGAGTCAGCAAAAATTATGCCAGTTCCAAAACGAGGT